ACAGTTACCTATTCTGGAAGATAAGGGGATATATCCGGTAATGTGATTTACTTAAGCTTCTGTGAGCACTTTTTCTGTAGTACATAGTGACTGCTTGGACTGCGATATACCTCAAAACTGTCTCTTTTAACATGACACGGGTGGACTGCAGACTTATGGCTCTGTCCATACAATATGCATGAGCACGCTGTTGTCTGTCCTAGGAAAAGGCAGAACCATTGGGTTTTAACTCAGACAGATTCTGTATGTGCAATGTGCAGTTCCAGATTAAACAGGTGTCTCTTCCAAGCAAGTTGTTTATTTGGTCTGATTGTGTTCCGTGAGACGGTTATAAATTCAATTTGTCTAAAAATGTGTTAACTGAAGGGAAGAGTTTGTTTTTTTAATAAAGCTGTTCCTTTAGATTGTCTGGGAATATAAATCATATATAAATTAGTGGATCGCAGATGTCTTTTTCCACAGATAAAGTAATTTGTTTGATGCTACACTGTTGGAACTCCTATAAAAACTACATTAGAGTAAACGCAACTGTCTGTTGAATACTCAATGAAGCTGTGTGCCGGCTGTGCACACTGTTCAAATAGCAAAGGAAAGTCTTCAACTTGATATCACCCTGCCAAACTTCTAGCAAACTACCCCACCCTGAAGTCTGATGCTCTCAGCTGCTCAGTACCCCTAGTATTGACGGTGCTGAAATGAGAGAAGAAAATCAGACTGCTACTGGATGTTATATTAGTGGACCAGTAGATGGCGCCATTCCCTCTAGACCAGGCATTCCAAACCAATGACCTCCTACAGCAACAGATATGACAGTGTGGTGTCGACGTCCTAACAACATTTGTGACCTTTAAAAGACGCAACGGCACTCCAAGTACCCCCCTGTGCCACGGTCGAATCCCACTTTGGGCATTCACAATCTGACCAGCGCCCAACGTCTCACCTAGAAGACTTAAAAAATGGACTGCAGTAAACTAGGAACATTCCAAGGCTCGTGCTGACAAGACATATTTATTCAGTGTGGTTCTTTGTTAGGAAAATACTAGCAAGAAAAAACAGAGCAAACACACTATATAATTAAAGACAAAAAAAACAATACTCTCAGTAGAACAGAATCTTTCCTATTAAAGCTTCTTCTGTCTTTCACTGCGATTCCTCACAGGCCATACATGACCTACTGTATCTACACACTGTTATGGAACCCAAGACGAAAAATGCTGTTTGAATTTAGTGAATCTGGTGGCCAATTATCCAATATTATGGACGAGCGAAGCTGACTCTCTCTTCTCCGGGTGGAAAAGACAATAAATGTTAACCAACACAATCCTGCCTGTCACAGCTGCTGTACGGCGATCACCCTGATAGTTCTGCTCATTATTTTAAGCTTGGCTCGCATTAAACTTAAAAAAAAAATAATACATTGTTGGAAAGCAAGTTTCTTTTATTTTCCTCAGCTCCCAAAAAGGAAAAAACTCAATCTCGCGCCATCCTCAATCACTTCACACACAGAAGTACACCAGCACACTCTTACTGTACCATTCTGTTCGGGCTGAAAAGTTCAAAATAGGCCTCTGTAGTTCTGATGGGTAGGGAGAGGGGTTGGGATTCTGACAGTCCTGTACGCTGAGGAACGGTTTTAAATATAAAATCAGTTAATCTTGGTTCCACTTCAGATTTCTACAATTCATCACACCTTAAAAGCCCTGCTTTAACACACTGATTGTAAGGGGGGGAACAAAGACTAGATATAGTAGTCATGGGAGGAACAGGGACATAAAAAGCTCTAAAATTCCACGTCTAACCTGCACATGCTTTTCAGCTCCATAAAAGCAGAGCCCTCTGCTGCTATTCAAATATTTAATGAACGAAAATACCTCAAAAGCAAAAGATGACACAGCTGATAACCCCCAAAAAGTTTACAAGTGAGACGTTCATAAAATCACAGTGATCAGCAGCTTCTGAGTTATTGATTCCACATGTGGCTCTGTCAGGTTTCTTCTGGGATATTTTGCACATGGTTTGGTTTATCTCAACTTGACCAAATCCTGAATGGAATAAACGAACCTAAACTAGCAGTAAAACCAAACGACCACAGTGGCCACTGTTTTTCGGGTTACATATAGGATGAAAATGGATTTCCCAAGTTTAGGTTTCATTGTTTATTTGCACAACAACATTTCAGTTTCTAACCACTAGTATTATTAATAACTATTCGATCTCCATAAAAATATTCAATAACACTAAAAAAAAAAATGTATGCCCCACAAAAATATATTTTACTCTTTTTGTGTCTGGCAATGGAATCCAAACATTAGCAGAAATAGAGTATGAAATGCTCGCTTTTAATAATACTATAAAATTATTTAAAACAGGTCTGGAAAGTTTGGAAAAAAATACCTGCATGCATATCTTAAGACCCAAAATATTTTTCCTGATATTTCTCGCTATTTTTTTCATTCAAAGTTTTTCCAGCCCCATTCTTTACGAATCTGTGGATATGAGGATATTTTCAGTTCATCTACAATTAGGTAGAATCAGCTCATCAATCTACAAATCTTTGTCCAAAAATAAACATGAATTTCAGCAATAATATATTTCAATATATAAAATAACCAATAATAAAAAATAGTCGCACTTAAAACTACTTTTAATCACTCACCATTGTGCAGAAATTGTGTGTGTTTAACCACATTTTTGTGTAATGTAGTACTTTTAAGGATTTATGTTTCCTGAGAAGTAATACTATTTCAATATGGGACATGTTTTTTAAAGATGTAAATGCAACTCAATGTTGTATAATTATAAAACATTTTTAAAGTCCTAAAGTACCCAAGACCTGGATTTTGTGTTTCAAATACTATTTCAGATCTGTTTCACCATCTAAGACAACTTCAGACTTTGGCTTTCTGGTTTGTCACATATAATGCAAATAACAACAACAACAAAAAAAAATTATTCCAACTTATCAGAATGATAAAGGTAAATCGAGTATTTCTTCATATAAGTGTGATAAGAAAAATAAAATAAAAAAATTATATCACTGTCAGTGCACATAAAAATGTAAACAGTAACAAATATTATATACTGAGCATATACTGCATATAAGGGAAACCAATCAATTTGTCTGCTTCTATCTGCAGCATTTCTTTTGGAGGAAGAAAATACTTTTCAAGCCAGCCTCTGGGATCATGAAACAAATCAGTTCTACAAATATAATTTAAAGCCTTTTGGAAACTGAAATATTGTATCTTGGGCACTTCTTGTTCCTTCATTAATGGTTATTTTTTATAGATAATAATTTGCTCTTTTGGGAGGGCGGTATGGTGAGCATTGCTGCCTCTCAGCGCAGGAGCCCTGGGTTCCATTCCAGACCTGGGGTGCCGTCTGTGTGGAGTTTGCACGTTCTCCCAGTGTTTGCATGGGTTTACATGGGTGCTCCGGTTTCCTCCCACAGTCCAAAAACCTACTGGTAGGTTAACTGGTTTTCCAGGAAAAATTGGCCCTGGTGTTTACGTCTGTGACTGTGCCCTGCGATGGACTGGCATCCCATCCAGGGTGTATCCTGCCTAGTGCCTGCTGCCTGGTGGGATCGGCATGGCTCTCCCACGACCCCTAATTGGATAAAGCTGTTAGAAAATGGATGGATGGATGGTTTGTTTCTGCCAAAACAAAGGCCCTTTATTTGTATTAAAGCAAAGCCATGCGACAGGCGAGCCTGCAGTCTGTGTGGGGGTTTGTCTTCTGCGCCACCCATACAACTCAAGAAACAAAGGAATACAGAGTTGAAAGGTCAGAACACTGCTCGCAGATAGTTATGGTCAGGAGTGCTTCCAATAAAATAAACAACAATGAGGAAGGCCTAGACCAAAATACAGAATACCAACTCCTCCTTTTACAAATGTTCCTCACAAGTCCTTTTTTAGGTGAAAATTAACGGAAACAAAATTGTTTTCGCATTAAACATAATAACTAGCGATAGGAGACCCAAGATAGTACATATATTAATAATAGCAAAGGAAAGTTAGGACAGAGCACATACTAAAGAATGGATTTATTACCATAAACAGTAATAATTTAAATACAATTTAAATATTTAAAAATGTATATTAATAAAAAGGATCCAAATTGTCAAAGAGGCTGTGTTCTGTCAGAGTCTGAGAGAGAATTCACAAAAAATGGTGAAAGGTCTGAGCGGGCCACAGCACACAACTGTGCAGTACAAAAACTGCAAGTGCTTGTACAGAGGATAGTGGGAAGGGTTGGTAACACATGTACAACTTCATGTGCTTTCGTCTGCACCAAAAACTCATGACTCAAACCAAGGAAAAAAAGGGCGTTCATTTTTTAAAACGGCTTAATGAAAATCTGTTAAACAACACTCAGAATGCGAAGAGTCAACAGAGTGAATGAATGAGTGGAGTGGAAGGGCTACCATCTTAACACGAAATCAATTACTTTAAAAAGGAAAAAAAAAACCTGCACAAAAAGCTTCAGTTGCAGTGTTGATGCCGACATGATCAAATGAAAAAAAAAGTTAAACATCAATTTAAAAAAACACACACTATAAAACAGCCCTGGGATATTTTTTAAATGAAAAGAACTGTGAATAATCCCTTATAAAGAAAGGATCTGAAAAATCAAAATGAATCTGTTTAACAGCAGTTGACATCCTACACATTGACTGGCAGAAGGACAGCTGTTTTGTAAGGTTTTTACAGTAACAAGAAATTCACCAGTCAGACACTCAACCCAATTTAAGACTGAACTGGGAACAGAAAGACTTTTACAGAAATTAATGAGATATAGGACTTAAAACGTTTTCTGTATTTCTTATTGCACTTTACAAGAAAAATTTAGACTGCTCATTCACCGGCTCTTGAGTGCAGACTTCCTAACACTGCAACATACTTTCATACTTGGTCCCGGCTCAAAAAATGTTTTGCCTCTGAACCTAACTGCTCACTTGTCAAATATCAAGATATGAAAGGAGAATTGTTCTGTACCTTCATCAACGTCCAGTGCAGCACGAGAAATTCCTTTAGGAAAAATTGTAAATCCACCTGAAAAACAACAAAAAGGCAAATTTAACACCTGGTGTGTGTGTATATATATACTGGCACACTAAGACAGCAGTTCTGAACTGTGCAAAATATGAATCTTAAATATATAAAAGGCATGAAAAATCACGAGCCATCACAAAAGTCACAAAACAATTATAATGATATTTTAGCAAAATGATTATAATGCACGGACAAAATCTGCACAATCACTTTCCACAGTTCACCTTTGGTTT